AAATACTAGAGAGTCTAGGAAATAAAGGATGGGGTTAGAACAGAAAACAGATCTCCCCTGAAATTTTTTAAAAATCTCCAAGCCAGTACTGGCTTAGTGCATGTGAGGGCTGGTTTTAAATTCAGACACTGTCTGAATCATTACCCCACAGTCCACCACAGCCCCTTCCTGAGTAGCCCAGACTGTCATTTCTGGCAATGGGGAGAAGGACAGAACTTGTTCAGAATCCTTGCAAGCTACCAGCACCCATTTGCTCATCTCATCTGTACTGTGTAAGGGGCAATGTATATGGATGAAGAGGCTGAGGTAGCAAGAGCTGGCATGATTGCCCCATATGTCACAGCAAGAGAGAAGAGGTATCATAATGCAAACTCGTACCTAAAGTTATGATGATAGGTAATTAATATTAATAATATTTAAGGCAAATATTTGAGTGCATACGGGAAGCACAGGTGGGAGGAAGGAGGAAGGAAAGCAGGGCAGGGCCCTGAAGGTTGATGGTCTGTGGAGCTCCCTCGCAGTGAACAGGGCATGGTGTAGGCTGGGGGCCTCCACAGGACAGCATTGCATCTTGCCAGCCCTACAAGTGCAAACTGCAAGTGGCTTTGTGGGAAAATATAGCCTGGCCCTCCCCTGTGTGAAACAGGGCTTCAGGAGTGCCCTGCCAACTATGGTAAGCGGGTTCTTCACCAAGATGGATTTGGGAAAAGTCTTTGATCTCTGCAATGGACTGACAAGGCCCAGCATTGGAGTATGGGTGGCTGGTACAGGGGCTGGGCCAACTTAGTTCTAGAAAGTGGTAAAGGAAGGATCATGAATTGATGGGGGCTTCAGTGACAGGAAGAAATGGAGTCATGAGTCCAAGGTGGGTGATTCTCAGTGAGGATATCCTGGGGAGGCAGAGTCTTACAGGGCACCTGAGGTGGAAGCTCTCATGACACTCTCCCATCCCCTCTCACTTTTCACCCTCCACTCCAGGCCCCCATTCCCCCCTCCCCCACAGCCAAGCTTCAGTGACTCAAAGGCTTTGAGCCTTCTGTTCTGAAGTGAGCATTGTACTCTTGATACACCTTTTTCTTTAAAAATTAAACCTATTGACAAGCAAAAATAACAAGGCATTTATATTGGTTTTCAAAAGTAAAAGAGAGAGAGGAGTATAAAACAAAGGTCTTCCCTGCTGTACATTTTTCCTTATGTAGAGAAATATGCACAGTAGTTTCCCCTTAGTTTCAACTACCCCAGGTCAACTGGAGTCTGGAAATACTAAATGGAATACTCCAGACATAAGAATTCATAAATCTTAAATATTTCCACAGTAAGTAGTAAGGTGAAATCTCATGCTAGCCTACTTTGTCCCACCTGAATCCTAACGTGAAGGCCCTCTGCCCAGCATGCCTGTGCTGGAGATGCTGCCCATCCGTTAGTAACTTAGTGTCCATTTGGGTTATCAGCTGACTGTCACAGTATCATGTGCTATGTTCAAGCAATCCAAAGGTGCAGTAGTGATGCTGGCAACTCAGTAAGCCAAGAGAAGCCATGAGAAGTGAAAGGTGGCAGCTCTCCACTTACTGAGAAAAAGGGAAAATCTGCTGAAGTTGCTAAGGGCTATAATACACTAAGAAATTTGAGAGTAAGAGCACATTCACAGCACTGTGAATGCTATTATAACATTATTATAATTTTCCACTATTATAATGATGGAACAAACTACTGTGAGTTTGGGTGACTCAGAGTAGTTCAAATTACTACAGCTGACTACAGAAGCTACTTCCAGTAAATGCATCTGGGCAGCCTGGTCTACATAGTGAGTTCTAGGCCAGCCAGGGCTAAGACTGTGTCTCAGAAAAGAAAGAACCCCAGCGAAGGCATCTGGAAAGCTCAACACTGTCCCCCAACAAAGCTTAAGAGCTCAGCAGTATTGGTGTGTAGTCTGTTTAATGCACCTCCTAATGTTTCAGTCAACTAAACCAGACTCTTACCAGTGGTTAAAGCCATAGAGATTTAGGGGAACAGGGATAATGGCAGATTGAAGATGACCTCAAACGCTGACACACTTCTGAGAGTGAAATCTGGATCCCTTACCATTGAATCTGAGCAGAACCTGTGACAGACCAGAATTCCCCTGAAAGGATGCTCTATCCTTTCAGCCCATGACTTGGAATATTCCTGCCGAGGAAGCCAGGGGTCTACCGATCCTAGTATCTTCACACATGAGCAGCTGAAGCCACACCAAAGGGTGAGCTTAGGAGAGAGGGAGAGGCAGGGAAGAAGCCCAGGAGGAAGAGAAGACAGAGAATGAGAGAAGACCATTGAGAAAGCAGACGTGAGTGAAGAAACCAAGAAAGATTGGCCAATTAGGTTGAAGTATTGGGCTGAGACCTATGGAGAATTATCCAGTCCCAAATGATCACGTGACTATACAAGCAGAGCGTGCGTGCCTCCCTCCCTCTCTCTCTCTCTCTCTCTCTCTCTCTCTCTCTCTCTCTGTGTGTGTGTGTGTGTGTAAAACAATAACTAAAGAAGAGGTCATGAATTTTCGAGGAAGTAGGGAGGGCAATGGTGCGAGTTGGAAGAGGCAGAGATGGGTATAAATGATCCAAGTAAGGTTCTCCTGTGTGAAATTCTCAAAAACACACAAAGTTTAAATAAAAATTAATGTAAATTCTCCCCCTACTTCGAGCGCATTCTGTTAGAAACTTTGATGGTGGAGTCAGAAAGAAAGACATGGTGATCTGTGTTGTAATAACACTCATGGTGAATCTGGGCTTTCTAACCACTCTGTGCCCAAATTACTTGTGACAATCCTTTCCGAGTATGACATATATTGTCCATTGAATGTATCCTCATCATCCAAGGCTACACAGTGAGATCCTGTCTCACAAACAAACAGTCAGGAAGGTAGCTCAGCAGATAAAAGCTCTTGCCACCAAGCCTGATGACCTGAGTTTGATCCCTGCCACCCACATGGTGGAAGGAGAGAACTGACTCCCAAAAGTTGTCCTCTGACTTCCATATGCAACCTGTGGCACACACATGCCCACAAACATACATGTACTTATACAAATGCACAAACAAATTAAAATAGACTAAAGGAAGTAAAGGATACATGGACAAAACTATCTAACTGATAAAACAGTTATAAAGGCAATTTTGGATTGGGGTGTGTGTGTGTGTGCGCGCGCGTGCACTGGGAATCGAACCCAGGGCCTCGTACATGCTAGCAAAGTACTACTGGCACTGATTTTTTTTTCCACATACATTCAACAAAAAGATATGAAAGTGGGGAATCCAGTGGGTCAGCTTGGTTTTAGTTTTTTCTTTTCTAAAACAAAACAAAATAAAACAAAACAGTAGACAGTACTGTGGTCTTCTTTAGTTACCTTCTTGTAACGCCTAGTACCCTTTCCTCCCTCCCACTTACTGCAAGGAGCAATCCTGCTGGTTTTTAGATCTAGTTTTCTGAGACTCTTAAAACTGAGAAAAGGCCACGGGATGAATGCAAATCTGTCTCTGGAAAAAATCCTCCTTTGATTAATAAAACAGCCTTCTGATTTAAAAATATGTTTTCTGAGAGTTTTCCTGGTATAGCTAATTCCTGTTAAATGAATAAAATGTCTTCAAACATTGAAGTAAATATTCTAGGTTTTGTGAGGGATGGAGGGAGGAAGGAAGGAAGGAAGGAAGGAAGGAAGGAAGGAAGGAAGAGACAGAAGGGGAAGGAGTCCTTGCCTTTTCTATGGAACCCGGGACTACTGAGGAAAGACCACCAGACTCAATTCAGATCGAGATAAAAGATTTTATTCAAGCTAGCTTGGACAGCAGTCACCGCATTGGATTAGAATGCTGCAGTGGGGAGGGAGAGGGAAAGGGGACCTTTTAAAGGTAAAAACCGCTAAAAAGAATGTTGACAAGGTAGTCCCCCGAATAACAGGGTGGAGGGTGATCACAGTCTACATGTCAAGGTGCCCTAAAATAGCAAAACAAGCAAGTTACAGAAGCCAGAATCAGCAGTTAGTCATATCATAATAATTTTGTTTTCTCTATGTCTAGAGAGCAAGTGACTGTGGCAGCATTCTCCAGGGAGGAAAAGGGAGACATGGGTCAGGGTTTCTGAAAACAAATCTTGAGCTAGAAATACACTATGGCTACGCTTCTAAGATGGCTAGTTTATCCAAAATGGGGTCAGTTTGGTCAGTACACCTTAAAGGAGTCCAAAGTGTAGTTGGAGGAGCTGGGCATGTAAACAAATCATTGTAAACAACATGAAAAGGCAAACGGATTTATGAACTGACTTGTGGCTTTAGGGATGAATGGAAATTTGCCACAGCCAGGAGAAAAAGAGAACATTCCCAAACGTCTGTGTTTCACAACTTGAAAAGACTGTTTGGGCAGAAAGACGAGTTTGGGTTCTTTAAAAATTAAGAGCAGCTTCTGATCGAAGTATCTGAAAGTTCCACAGCCACTGGACATTACCCTTCTGGTTACCACGATGATTGCTTGTCGAGAAGCAGGTTCAGCTCCCTTAACCTTCAAGCACTACCTTTTGCTGAACGTGTTACTCAACGTGCTGAAAGTTAATAATTTATACTGCTCTGATCTTTCCGTGGGAAACCGAATTGTGAATGGAAGGCAAGGCAGAGGCTAGAGGGAAGTCAAGAGGCAATCCTCGGTTCTTTGGAGTGACGTCTACTCTGGGTGACCACCAACCTGAATGGTCTTGACCATTTGAGTTAACCTTCCCCTTGCCCCTCTCCATCTCCACTGGTTCTCCCAGATTTTGGGGTCTCCCAGTAGCTGACTAGCGCCTCTATAGTAGCTCCACCCCGCCCCTAGCTTTCCCCCACATCCCCACCCCTCCAATCACCTTTACTCAGGTGGGTGCCAACGGTCTAAGCTGCCCAGAACGGGCGAAGAGGCGGGGCAGCCCAGGACGCGGGGAGGAGCTTCCACCGGCGAGGGTCTGGGCATCTGCTGGCTGGGCGGCGCCTACGCAGTGACTTCGCGGCGCAGAACTGCAGCTATAGCGCCAGCGAGTCCGGATCCAAGAGACCGCTGCAGCCTGCGCCCGTGAAGCCGCTCCGACGCTGTGGTGGAAGCTGCGGTCAGGGAAGAGACCGCGGGCGCCGGGGCGAGAGAGCTCAGGGGTCGACATGGTGAGCAGCGGCGGCTGAGGCCAGCGCTAGGTCTGGGCCTAGCGGGCCAGGCCGGGCTCCCGGGTGGGGCGCTGGACTCGCCCCCAAGGCCGGGGAAAGACCGGCCGTGGGTGGACGCGCACCCCGGGTGCAGCGTGCGGTCGCTGGGGACCAGGCCGGGGCTGGGCGGGCAGGGTCGCGGCCTGGGGCCGTCTGGTTCGCGGGGTCGTGGCGTCCCCAGGACCCGAAGAGGATCCGAGGTTTCAGCGCGGAGGTCGGTGCTCTGGACGCGGCTTCCTGCGGTCCTAGGAGCGGGGACCGCGGGAGCTGGGAGGAGTCTGGGCGGGCGGAGGGTTCGGCCCTCTGCGCTGTGGGAACTGGCCTGGTCCAGGGCAGAGCAGCCGCTGCAGGAACGGGAGCCGAAGGGGGCCACAGTGTCTGTATGTGGGCTCCTGGCCGCGTTTCCTATGGCAGACAGCTGTGTCCTGCACTTTAGAAGCCTCCTTGGTGATCAGTGCTGTCCCTGCAGGAGGAAGGTGGAAACGTACCATCGCATGTTCTAAGTGCTCGCATTCAGGTGTTTTCACACATGTGCAGACCGTGTTGAACTGAAGCATATTGGAAGCGCCTTGTATGTAGCGCTGGAGTTAGATCTCCCGGCCCAGGGTCGAGACCCTCTGTGTGCCTGGTCTAAACCACCATTTTGCTGGGGTGGGTGGGTGTGTGTGTGTGTGTGTGTGTGTGTGTGTGTGTGTGTGTGTGTGTGTGTGTGTGTGTTTTCCATTGGAAGAGGTGTTCCTGCACATAGTAAGTCGTGCATCTTTATGATTGATGCAGCATGCACAGACTAAGTTTAGAGACCAGCCAACCAGGCACTTCACAAGAGTGGAAGGTTTTGTCAACTTAAAAATATTTCTGTGTGCTTTTAAGCTAGAACCTTTAATTTTCTTAGGGCAGTTTTAAGTTCACAAAAGTTGAGAGGAAAATGGGGGCAATTTCCCATGTACTCTCCCCTCACCCACACCCATGCATTATCAACATCCTTCCAACCAGAGTGCTTTATGCCACAATTGATGAGTTCAGATTGGCACCTGGAGTTCGTAGTTTACATTAAATTCATTCTTGATGCCAAGTTCGGAAATATATATAATAACATGAAGCCAACTTTGCACTATAGTGCAACTAACTAACTCACTCACTGTCGTAAGCTTTCTCTGCCCTCTCTGCCTATTCATCCCTCTCTGCCTGTTCATTCTTCTCTGTCCCAGCCCTTAACCCCATTGATCCTTTTATTGTGTCCATTGTTTTGCCTTTTCCAGAATGTCATATAGTTGTAATCATAGACGTTATGTAGTCTTTTTTTTTTCTTTTTTTCCAGTTGGGATCTCATTATATAACCCTGGGTGGCCTGGAACTCCCTATGTAGAAAAGACTGATCTCAGACTTAATCTCCCTGCCCCTGCCTCCTGGGGGGGGGGTGGGACTAAAGGTCCCACCCAGTGAATGTGCTCTTGTGCCTGAGGAAGGCAGAGAGAGGCCTCTGATATCCTGGAGCTGGAGTTACAAGCAGTTGTGAGTCACCTGATATGGGTGCTAGGAACTGAATTCCAGTCCTCTATAAGAGCAGTATGTGCTCTTACCTCCTTAGAGGTCTCTTCAGCCAGACTGGCTTCTGTGACATAGTCATAGAAGAATATCCCATTGTCTAGCTGTACCACAGCTCATTCATTCCAAGCTGTAGAATGAATGAAGTTTGGTTATGAATAAAGCTGCTATAAATGATGTACAGGTTTTCATGTGGACAAAAGTTTTCAATTCCTTTAAATACAAAGGAGCCTAATTGCTAAACTATATGATGAGACTAAGATTTTTTTTAAAGAAACTGCCAAACTGTCTTCCCGAGGATCTGTACCATTTTGTCTTCCCACCAGCATCGAATGAAAGTTCTTGCTACTCCCATCGTTGTCAGTGTTTGATAGTATGGGTGTCCTAGACTATTCTAATACACTAATTTCTTTGTGTGTTTTGACAAGGTCTGATGTAGCCCAGTCTAGCCTGGAGCAACTGATCAATCTTCTTGGATTACAGGCATGAACTACCATATGTGGTGTTCCACTTTTTTGTTTGTGGGAGGTTTTTTGTTGTTTTTATTTGGTTTTTTAAGATAAGGTCTCACTCCATGTCACAGTGGGTTTGAAACCCACTCTAAACCAGGCTCCCCTTGGACTTTTGGAAATCCTCCTTTTTCAACCCTTTAAAAAGTAATCGAGTGAGCCACCTCACCTAGCACTTGCTTTCTTCATGTTACTGTAAGTATTCCTAAATAATACATCCTTTAGTTTTACCTGATTTCTAAGTTTGTGTAAGTGAAATCTTTTTTTCCATGACTTCCTCTCTAATGTGGCTTAGCTCATTTACTTTCATGGCTCTGTAGTTTGGCCTTTTTATGTACTCTGCAGTTGATTTATATCTTCTACTTACAGTTAGTGAAATAATGAAATCTTTACTATTTTAAAGAATTAGCTTTACCACAAATTTCCCCCTACTTCTCTTATTGTGAAGTGTCCAAGATTTTATTATAAATTTAAGAGTGGAATTGCAGTATCACAGAGTTGTAACATGTTCAACCCTAGTAGACAGTGACAGATTGTTTCCCAATGTGGTTGTACAATTTATACTCCCATTGGCAGTGCCAGGTGCTCTGCATTCTTAGAATACTGAGAATTTTCAGGCTTTGAAATATTTGCCAAACTTGTGGTTATACCTCCCTTTTTCTGGTGCTGGGATGGAACCCAGAGCCCCTTGTGTGCTAGGCAAGTGCTTTACGCTGAACTGCACATCCATCCCGTGTCTCTTGTTGGCTGCATCATGAGGACTTTAATTTTGATTGTGATGATACAATTTTGTTGTTTTGTGAACATACTTAGATATTTAATTAATAAGAAATCACAGTATAGAGTCTAAAATATTTATGTTAACTTGTGCAGGTACATGTTTATGTGCATACAGGTGTACATATATTTACGGGTGTGCATACACATGCATGCATGTGTTCGTGGAGGTCAGAGAACAACCTGAGGTGTCATTTCTTAGTGCCATTGAACTTTTGTTTTTTTTCATTTTGAGACAGGATTGCTCACTGACCTGGAACTCATGACATGGGTTAGGGTGACAAGCTCCAGGGATCTGCCTGTCTCTACCTCCTCAGTGCTGGGATTACAAGCACTTGCCACCATGCCTGCCTTTTTTTTAATATGAATTTTGGGAATCTAGTTTACCAGTTGAGCTATCTCCCAGCCCTGTTTATGTTAATTTAAAGGTTATTATGGGGCTAAAGCTGTAGCTCAGTGGTATTATATGTATTTGGGTGCACAAGACCTTGGGTTCAATTCCTTGCACCATGGAAAAACAAAGGTGTTTATAATCCAAGGTGTGTCTAAATTTAAATATCATGCTGGGCATGGTGGCTGACCCCTGTAATCCCAGCAATTAGGAGGCAGATGTAGGAAGGTCAGGAGTTCAAGGCCAGCCTGGGCTACATGGTAAGGGCTGTTTCAAAAGTAAAACAGGACCACAGAATAACTCATTGGGTAAAGGTGCTTGCCAACAAGCCTGACAACCTGTTTTCAATCCTAGGAATCCACATGGTGGAAGGAAAGAACCAGCTGCCCCAAGTTGTCCTCTGACCTCCACAGGCACAAACCCAACTTTTTGCACACATACACAAGCAAACAAATGAATGTAATTTCAAAATAAATAAACAGAATCACAGCATAAGAAATAAAACATCACATTGTGCCTTATAAAAATGTACACTTCCCAGGAACTGGAGAGATGGCCCAGCATTTAAGAGCATTGACTGCTCTTAAAGAGGACCTGGTTCAGTTCTCAGCACCCACATGGTGTCTAATTACAGCCTGTTCTAGGGGATCAGTCACCCTCTTCTGGCCTCTGTGGGAATTACAGAACACTGGTGCACTTATATACATGCAATCAAACACTTATATACATGAAATAAAAACAAATGGAAAAAATTAATGTACAGTTCTGCCAGGTGTGGTGGCACAAACCTTTAATCCCAGCACTCTGAATGCAGAGGTAGGTGGATCTCTGTGACATCAAGGGTGGCCTGGTCTAAATAGCAAGTTCTAGGCCAGCTGTGGGTACAGGGACTCCTATCTCAAAAACAAAACAAAACAAAAAAAAACAAAAAAACCCCAAAAGTACAATTCTATATATCAATAAAAAAAATAAATTTAGCCAGTCATGTTAGTGAATCCCTACTTTCAGCACTTAAGAAGCAGAAGTACAACTATTGAGAATTTATGACCAGCCTGGACTAAAATGAGACCCTGTGTCAAAATGAATAATTTAGGGCTAGGTGTGGTGTCAAATGTCAGTAATCCAAGAACTCAGGAGGATAAAACAGGATGAATATGTTTGAAGCTAACCTGGGCTACAAGAGGGGTTCCTGTCAAACAAGATTATAAATTCCTTTTACAAAGAAAGTTTTATTTGATTTTTTTACTTATGTCTGTGTGTCTGTGGGTGGGTATGTGCACTTAAGTGCAGGTACCCATGGAGGCAGAGGCATCGGATTCCCTGGAGCTGGAATTATAGGGAGTTGTGAGCCACCTAACATGAGTTTTAGAAACTGAACTCAGGCCCGCTGCAAGAATAATATACACTCTTAACCACTGAGCCACCTGTACAACTACAAATTCCTCCTACTAATACGTCCTTTTAAGATCCTAGAAAACCCAGAAATGGCATCATGTAGAGAAGTTAGTGTGTCATGTGTCACAGAGACCCCCCATTAGTAATTAAAACCTAAGAAATTTCTTAAATTAATTCCCCAATTTAGTAATTCATAGAGGCCTCTGCCATTTGGACAGATATTCCAGAATCATTAGGAGTTTAAGCATACATTTATTACACACATCCCTGTCCCTTCCAAGGAAACCCTTCTTTTGAGGATCACCTAAACCCTTCTGTGTGTCTCTCTCTCCCCTGCTCAGTCT